AAACTGTCTTAAGTACATTAAGTAAAAGTTTTCCAAATTAAATTTTGCATATAAAAATTTTATTTGTGAAACACATATTAAATTTATTATTAAAAAAAAATAAAAAAGGATGTTACAAATAAGATATGTAACAGGCTATTACAAATACATTTTTTCTTTTTATATTATTAAAATAGGACCCCGAAATATATATGTAGAGGTCAGGTCCAGAAGTGGTCCAAAATACGCATTCTTTCAGGGCCGGAATTACGATAATTTCAGCCATTATCTAAATTAGGAAATATTATTTTGGCTGGGATTATCCATAAAAGGAATGATCTACATGATTTTTTTGACTCATTATACGCAAACTCTGACCTGACCCTTTTATGTATATTTCGGGGTCCTATTAAAATCATATAAAAAAATGAGTTGCGATATTGCGATTCACATTTTTATACTAAAATTATATAAAAAGGTGAATCGCGATACCGCAACTCACTTTTTTTATATAAAATCAATATAAAAAAGTGAATCGCGATACCGCAGCTCACTTTTTTTTATATAAAATCAATATAAAAAAGTGAATCCCAATATCGCAACTCACTTTTTTTATATTTAGTTATTACTAAATTCATAAAATCTATAAATAACTTAGTCAGGACCAGGTCCGCAGGTCTGTTCAATAGGACTTATAGGTCCCAGAACCAGGACTGGACCAGGACCGACCTAACCATCCCTAATTATAATACAATTAGTTTGCTAAGTAAAATTTTCGTAATGATGCTTTATGAATTTTTCTTTGATTTTTTATGTATCTTATTTGTTTATTTTATTATCTAATAATCCAATTTGCATAAACTTTTTTTTTTTTTGTAACCCCATTTACAGTTTACGACATAAATATTCGGAATTTTTATTTTTATGCATAAAGGAGTGCTGTCACAGCAAGTCTTGTGCAACCAAAATAATAATTAAAATAGAAGTTAATCAGCCCTTTTTAAACATAAATATAGCGTGAAAAATTCTCACCTGATTGTTTATCAGCAGCAAAATAAAATCATGGCACTCACTTTGGTATTTGAAATGCAAAGGTTGACTGTTAAGAAGCTATGGGATAATAATAATATACGAAAACCCTCTGAAATAATTAAAATGACTGGTTTTTCAAAGTCTACAGTATATGACATTATCAATCGTCTAAAAAAACAGGAAGTGTTGAACATTTACCCATTCCTGGTCATCCTCTTGTTCTGACACCAAAAAAACGTCGATATCTTGGCCATTTTCTTAAAAATGATAATGCAACAACTTCAACTTTAATGACAACAAAGCTGAATAATTTGTATTCAGATCTTAATGTATCAACTCAAACTGTATAACGTATTCTTAAAAATAAACTTAATTATATTATTTGTAGACCATGGTCTGTTAGGACTCCGGACATCACATATACAACTCAGTGGCAACTTTTTCGCAGATTAACCTAAATTTCACAAAAAAAAAATCAGTTTTTTGTGATTATCTCGGCATCCAGTGGTCCAATTTGTACAAACTTTTTTTTGTTTTGTAATACTCATCGAGCTCTACAAAATAAAAAAATCCACATGAATCGGATCACTGAATACCAAGATAATCGCAAAAAATGGAAAATAAAAAAAGAGTAAATTGGGTTTTTTTTTGGCAAAAAGTCAGTTGTGAGTTCTATAAGAGATGTCCAGGGTCCTGGTCTGTCCCTCTTCTTAAAGAAAGTCATGTTGAAGCTCGTCTTCAATGGACCTTAAATTACATCCAAGATGACTGGACTCACACAATTTTTTCGGATGAAAGTACATTTCAGACGTTTCATAATACTCAAATTGTATGTTACAAGGCTAGAAACCCACATCCAGTACATTCTATGGTAAAATATCCATATAAGGTTCATGTTTGGGATGCATTTTGCCACCAAGGGCCAATTGGAGTTGCATTATTTACAGAAAACATGAATTCTGCTAAATACCGTAAAATCCTTCAATCTCAACTACTTCCTAATGCTTATCATGCTGGTTATGGATGGAATTTTCAGCAGAACAATGTGCCAATGCATACCATGAAGCTTACTTATCAATTTTTTGTAATTAATGATATTCCGATTATTGATTAGCCTGCAAACTCACCTGACTTAAACCCCATCAAAAATTTATGGGCAATTCTTAAAGGAAATGTAGAAAGAAGGGTTAATAATTGGGTTATGAAAAAAAAATCACTTGGTGCTAATGATTTTCAAGGCATAATTCAGCAAGAATAGGATAATATTGATAAAAATCTCTTCTTTAGTTTAGCAGATAGCATGTCAGATCAGATTAACATGGTCATAGAAAATAATAGTTATACGATAAATTACTAACTTTTAAAGTATGTTTATTTGCACATTTTAAGCTATTAATGGTATAAATTTGAAATAAAAAAAATAAAATTTATTATGTTTTTACATATTGTGATAAAATTTTGAATATTTATGTCGTGAACTTATAAAATAAAAAAAAATTTATTGAAATTGGACTGCTAGATGGTGACATAATTGCAAAAAAGCTTATTAATAAATAAATTACTATATTATATATATATTATAATACAATTATTTCATTATCCATTAAGTAATAATTACACTAATTGCAATGATTTTATTTTTTATATTATAAATGATAAATTTATTGTTATTTTAGATTTTAATAATAAATCTATATCCAAAAGATAACAGTATTATTGTACACAGGTCGAAAAGTGAAAAATCAGACACCAATTGGTGACTGATTGATGCCTGATTTTTCACTTTTCGACCTGTGGTAATAAATAATACAAAAATCTATTATAATAGTAATGACTTAGTAGTTTTATTGAAGGAATTAGAATATTATATTAATTTTCTTTTACCTTATTCTTTTGACTTTAATTCCATTAAAATTAAAACTCTAAATGGATCAGTTTAGTCCAGATTATAGACAATTTAGATTAGAATTGAAATCTATAAGAACTGAACTGAAAAGCTAGCAGTTCAGTTTAGTTTGATATGATTTTTATAAAAATCAAGTTATATATTATTGGATTCTTTTTAATAAAATGTGTTGAATTGTAGTAAAATTACATCTTTAATATTAATAAATCACAAGTTAATTCACATTAAATAATTTATAAAAAATTACTATTAGCAAGTTATTTATTGATACTAGAAATATGATCTTACTACCATTTGATTTGTTTTATTGAGACAAATTCAATAAATCCTAATTTATCTTTATATAACTATTAAATGATAAGTAAATGTATATATTAGCATTGTAATTTTTAATGCTTAAAAATTTTAAAAAAATGTGAAACTTAATATTATTTACTATCTAGTGATTATACACAAACAAATTAAGATTTATTGGATTTATTTCACTAAGATATATCAAATAATCATGTTCCTGGCATCAATAGATTACAAGTTAATTAATACTAAATAATATTAAAAAATTAGCATTAGAAAGCTATCTATTAATATTAAAAATATGTTTTATTACTATTCAACTCACCTCAATAAGATAAATCAAATAAATCCTAATCCATATTTGTATAACTATTAGATGATGAGTAAATATATGTATTAGTATTTTAATTTTTATTGCTTAAAAATTTTTAAAAAATGCAAAATTTGCATTATTTATCATCTAATGATTGTATACAGACAAATTAAGATTCATTGGATTTGTCTTGCTAAGATGTATTGAATAGTGGTAAGATCATATCTCTAGTTTTTAAAAATATTACAATAGATTTATACTAAAAATATAAAAAAATCAAAAAAATAGAGAATTAGGAAATTTGATAAATTATTATATTAAAAGGAAAAAGCAATATATCACATATATGAAAAAATATTAATTCTTATATTTATTATATATTTTAACATCTAAAATTCAATTCTGTAATAAAATATACAATTTTAATAGAGAAAATTTAGGAAATTTGAATTCTATAATAATAATAGGAAAAGAAATATTAGTACATATTTCTATTAAGTTTTAAAGTTAAATTTTAAAACTTACCATTCATATACCATCATTACTGCAATCTATAAACAAAATTGTATAGAACTTCTTTAGGTTACTTTTTGTTAATTGTAATTTTTTGTCTAGGTTTTTGATTTTGTAACTTAAACTATGGGTTTGTAATTTTATTTTTGTTTGTTCTCATTTTGTTTTGGTTTGATTCTTTTTACTGATCATTATCCTTAACCTGAGTAAAAGATTGATATTATAGTTATTTATTTCCCTCAGTTTTAATAATATTTATAGTGTCTTCATATATAGATTCTATGGTATATATGGTATAACTGGAGAACTTTAAATATCTTCAAGTTGACTTTACAAATTTTTTTAAATTATAAATAGATAAATAGATCAGCTTTTCGTATTGTGGAAAGCAGTAAATTCTCTCTAAGATGGTTTTAATACTTTGGGCCAGATTAACGATCACAAGAGTCGGGTCAACTCGAATTTACATCTATTGTTAGATAATTGATTAATGTCGGCCACCCAAATTATTTTATCATTTTACTAATAAAATTTATGTAAAAGCCTTATATCCACAAATTATTTAATGAACGTTTTGATATGCAAAAATATTTACTATACCAATAACATACGCACTGCCTCTAACTTCAAACTTATTCGTTTAATTTGTTAATTTGTTATTTTGTTCAATTCCATTTCTCTTTCACTTACTACTTTGATAAAAATATTTTATTTGGGAGTCAGGGGACTCGGGACCTGTCCTGATTCTACCGATCATGTGTGGAATGCTGAATTTTCGCATATAAAAAGAGTGCATGAAAATACTACTCAAATTTTCATTACTGGTTAAAATTGGATGAATAGCACAAGAATTGCAATATTGTCAGTATGTACAGTTTATTATACTTTCTTGAGTTTCAACCATTTTTCATCTATTCTCAAAGCTTGCCAAACCTCATCAATAATTGACCTTGGCCCTCCGACAACAAGATGTCGTTCACTCTCTAACATCTGTGATTTGATGTTGCATAATGTACGAAATGCTATAACCCAACAAATCTGTTCATCCAGTTTTTCGTTGACAGAAGAGAGGTAAAGAGAAGCAGCTTTCAACTTTAACTCAAACATGGCAAGTGGATCTGACTTGCTTTCAAAAACCGTAGATCTTCGATCTTTCAAAAATTTAAATGTTTTACTTCTATATTTTTCAACTGGTGGAGTATTTAAAAAATTCCTCAAAAATTCATAATCTACGCTTTTACATTCTTCATTCTCCTTAGATGCTGTTGATGAGGATAGTAATTGTTCATCATTTTCACCCTGATCTCCTAATATTTGAGTATATTTGCTCTTATAATTTTGAACTAACTGTGAGGAATATGTATATATAAGATTTAAGTCATCTAGATATAAAGAGTCTTCCTCCATTTTTTGAGCACGAGTCACTTCGTCATTCCAGAAGCTATATATATGTGGATCTGGATCTGCGTTCTTTTCTGCTACCAATAATCCCTTGTTATTTATTATTTCGTTTATCTCATTTTCAATTTCAATACATAATGAATCCATTATACCTTTAACTCCAAAGTGAACTCCATTTATTTCTTGCTTAGATTTGGATCGAATTTTATAATTATCTTCTTTCTCCATCCAATAAGGAACAGGAAGTTTTTTAAATACTTCATTATCGTATTGTTGAACATTTGGTTTTATAGTTAGTCCCCGCTTAGTAGCATCAATAAGCTGTGCGCTCATTTGAGCAAGATAAATTGATTGTTTGTCAAATATTCCAAATTCGGATGACTGGAGTTTGTGCCAACGATCATATAAACCACGCGGCGTTTCCATATCTTTAAAGCAAATGTCTAAAATTATCTCCTGTATCTTGGATTCAATTTGACTGGATTTTACAGAGGATAATAAATCGTCAATAGTTTGATTATTTACATCAAAAGAACTTTTGATTCTCGGATCAAGTGCCAAAAGTGGAGAATTTTTGTAGTTTTTGACGATTCGTGGATCCCAGCAACAAAAAATCTGTAAATGAAATACGTTAAAAGGGAAAAAATTTTCTCAGATATTATAAAAAATATGTATACCTTGTCACCATCATAATCTCCTCCACTTAAATAAGTTGCTAATGATATGTCATCCTCCTTAGCAGCATTTACAGGAAATATGACTACATTATAATAAATGCTTAAATCCATATTTCTGACTGCTTTAACCTTGACAATATCAGAAGGTAAACCACACGGATTCCTAGCTAAAATTACATCATCTTCAATAATTCCAAAAGGTAATCCAGTGCGTTCATCGCGTCCTGCTTCCCTATCCAATTGAATAAAGACTTCTCCCGGTTTCAAAGTATTTGTCGGGTCAGCAATACATGTTAAAACGCGGGATAAAGAGATATTTACTCTAAATTTAGTAAAAAGCGACTTTAATGTTGATGAAAGTACGCTTTTTAAATTTCTTGCTAAATAGGGACATGTCGAAGGCGTAAATCCTGCTTGTAGCATCTGTATACATTGTTCAGATGGATTATCAGGAAATCCTGACATAGTATAGCTTTCGGATTCTGAATCTACATATAAATCACAATCATCATCCGAAGATTCATTTTCAAAATAATGATTATAAAATATCTCTAACCTATTTCTCATGATATTGGAGTTATTAGTTACCCATGCTATTAAAGATTGTGGATTGTCACATCCAATCACCTCGGATTTGATTTTTTCGGCATATTCATTCATCATCTCGGTGAAAATCTTAAGAGGGACACCGCCATTATACAAAACTCGAATTAGTTGGCTATTTAAAGCACCAGGTTTTGTTGGTGGAACAACAACATGCAAAACCTCTAAAGTTCGTAAATGAACATCATCTTCATTTAAATAATGTTTGTATTTTATTTGAGATTTGCGTAATTCAATCCACTTATTTTCACACAAATCTCTTTGTGGGTCAATATACCAAACACCTTTTGCTCCTCCAATCCTACCTTGAATCGCAGGAGGAGTTTCTTTACATCCCAAAATTTCGGCTACTTCTTTCATAGCTGCCAGAGATATTGCAGCACATCCATCAGTGAAACAATGTTCATTAATTGTAACATCGTCGATATGTTTAATTTCATTTGGTTTGAAGATAATTGTAGGTGTGGTATTGGAAAAACCTAAAGATATGCGAGAGTAAAACTTCGCAGTTGTCATGCTCTTATTAAGCTCCATTGGTAAATTATAGTTAATTACTTGCCAAATTGACATATCATCGGGGATATCTGATCCACTTGTCGCAAAATAATATAATATGTTTGATTTAGCATATAAAAATTTATACGTCCTACCAGCTAATGGTAAAGGAAATAACAGCAGGCTTTTCAGCCTCGATTTTTGATTATCATCCAAACTATCAGAATTCTTAATTTTCAGGTGTAGAAATCTTTCAGATGACAATAACCTATAATATCTTCTGGAGTGACCTATCCTTGGAGGATTGAGTGTTAATATTAATTGATTTTCTTTAAATAGCACATCTCCTGAAAATAGAACATGAACTCTAGATCCAGTTTTGGGAAATTTCTTTAAACTCAAAGGCCATATATTAACGAGATTTCGATTTATTATCTTTTTTATTTCGATAAAAATGTTTACATTCGGAAGTCTTGAATAATAATCTTCACAAGCTTCATATAAAATCTCATGAATATCAACGCCAAATTTAATTTTTATCTGATCCCAGAGACTTCTTGTTGGCTCAATTGGACCGAAGGGTTTTAAAATTCGGACAATTTCATATCTATCCAAAAATGCTATTCCTTCGACATACTGTTCAAATTCTTCCGGCATTTTTGTTGTTGAATAATCCTGTGTGATCCAAGGATTTCCAATTATTGATGACGCTAAAGAGGAGGATTCGCCGTTCTGGCTAAACGAATATTCCCATTCCTCATCTTCATTGTTATCTTCTGGCAAATGGGCAAAAACTTTGGTTAAATCTTCCGAAAAAATATCACGTAATTTTGAAATATTTTTAAAAGTTCCGTGTTCATTAAGTTTATTTTTAATAATAAATTGACGAACTGTCTTATCAAGTAAGTTCTTGTCGGCCTTTGCGATTTCGTTCATACAAAATCTTTGTTCACTTGTAACAAACAATTCGTTACAGCCTGGAATGTTATTCATGGTGAACTTTTGTAAGCGTCGTATGTACGGTAACACTATTTTATGAGTGTCGCCACTTTCGTTCATAGAAAATAGGGAAGAATTGACATTCATATTTACCAAAAAAAAGCAAAAAAAAAAAAAATAATTGTAAGGAATAGGATTATCAGTAAAACAGTACGTATTATATAATTTTGATAAAAAGGAAACAAAACAATGTTATTTGAATGTATCATGCCGATCATATAAGTATTTATAGTAAGATAGCATATATTGATCGACAAAATTTACTAATTCATCGGATATAATGAACGAACCAAATGGCTGTATCCGAACTTACTAACGGTAATTTGAATTAATCACGTGACTTATATTTGGATAATCTTTTTTTTTTTCATCATTTCTTGTACCACTCCACCCCATTTGATTTATTAGCGTAGTCCTACTTTATCAAATAGTACAGATCGAAGAGTGAGGTCCCGTAGGGGATGAAGAACGAAGTTCTATACACATATATTAGGTTTAAGTATTTTTCTAAATTCTTTTCTCTCTTATTTGTAATAGTCTGGGTTCTACCACTCTTTCAGTAATAAAATAAAAAAAGTACCACTCCACCACCTAATGACAGGTGGGCTGAAAGAAAAATAAAATACGGATCACATAATTTTTTTTTATCTGATTGTCTTCTCCCCTATTTTTACTTTAGTTTCTAATCCCTTTGTTCGTTCACTGCTATGGTGACTATGTTTCCATTAGTCAGTTCGTTCTAACGAAGGGTGGGTAAAAATAAAAATAAAAATAAAATAAAATAAATAAATAGATTTCAGGTTTATGGCGCAGCAGTTTCAAAATTTTATTTTTTGGTCTGCCTGACATACATTTCAGATATTTTCAAAAAAAAAAAAAAAAAATTACTTTATCCCTAATCATTATGTATAAATTACTAAAAATTTTCGAAAAATTAGCCAATCAATTTGGGAGAAATACTGATCAATTATTTTTAAATTTCATGTTTACTATTAGAATAAACATAAACATAATGAATCTATGTAAAATATATATTCTCTTGACACTTCTTTACCTTCATACCTTTCAGCAAAAAAAAATAAACTATTATCTAACAAAAAAGAAATAACGTATTGACAAATTTTATATACTGTATAAAATCTTATCGTATGGAGCCATGGAGGGCCAGATGTTCTATGAATGTGGGAGTTACGATCGTCATTATAAATAAAAATAAAAAAAGCAGGAGTTACGTCAGGTGCATACTAATTTCATATGCAGAATAAGAGAATTTTACTTTATAAAATTATGTAAATATAAAATGGAAAATTTTGAAAATGATTTGGTCAATCAGTCTTACAATAAAGAGGGAAAAGTAGTCAAGCAGATTTTCACGACGGAATCCGATTCAGCAGAGCCTTCTTCACCTGTTCCAGAACGGGTTGAAAGTACTGCCAATAATAATGACATTCCAAATCGACGTGCTTCTATCGCGGTATCAAATTTTAGTAATATGATAGACCCTAACATCCCTAATACGATAAGCTCGTGGATAACTCAGGCGACAAAAGCTAAGAGACGCGCTACTATGATAGATCATAGTAGTGTAGAAAGTGGTTTTATATCATTACGTTCCCCTAATGGTGTAGATCTTACAAAGTATAGTGAAATTAGCGATCAAGATTTACCTCAAGAATTTGAAAATTTTTTAGTGCGTATACATCCTCACTACGAAATAATTTAGAAAAATTTTAATAGTTTTTATATATTTTATCTTTTAGGATGAAATGAACATACAGGGTTCCGTACGAGAGAACATGATACGGCTTTCTATCGATCAAAAACGAACGATTATACTTACACACATACAGTCTCAAGAATTAGGACAGCGATCTCAGTCACAACCGCTGCAACATTCTTTAAAACATTCTCAACAAAAGAGTTATTTAAATATTGCACAGGATTATGATGCAATGTCTGATACGTCAGGAAAGATACAAATACGCGATTCTGATGTAACGTCTGTTACAAGCGCTGCTAGTGATAGCGATAATATAGAACAGAAGTCAAATAATAGACTTTCTTTGGCCTATTGGTTTTATGGCACAGAACAATCTCGTTCTTCTTCTCCACCATTGACAAATGTGCCCGAACAGACAAAACCGGGAGTTCAAGCGATATCGCAAAATAATTCAATTGGATTATTTAGTTCGTTGTTAGGTTTATACCCGGCAGCTGGAAATTCGGCAAAGTTAGAAGACACACCTGAATTTTATATCGAAAAATTAACACAAAAGTAGGATAAATTTTATATTCTTTTCTTTCTTTTTGGCAGAAAATATAATTTGTTTAACCTTTGAAAGATTTGAATTATTAAAGGAATGCTACTCCCAAGTCTTTGGCAGATACTTTGTTATCCTTACGAATAGCTCTGTCTTCAGCAAAATTATCTTGGTTAAGAGAATTTATAGATAATAGAGGATTATTTGTTTTAGAGTCTATTCTTGAGAAGCATACTGTTCGAGATAAGAAAAGGTGGTCAAAACTTAAAAAAAATCATTTAATTTTGTTACATAATATTTAGTACTCATTTATTAAATTCATATAATTAGCACAAGAAATTCTGATCAAGACGATCGAATACAGTCCCAATGCATTCGATGTTTAAGAGCTTTAATGAATACTGAGGTAATTTTATGCATAATTTTTGCATTAAGTCTTTCCTTACGATAACTAATATAAACTTATTTAGACCGGTTTTCGACAAGTTTTGAAATCTTCTTCTCTGGTTGCTAGCATTGTTTTTTGTCTTCACACGATCAATAATAAATTACGTTCTCAAGTTGCCGATGTATTGGCGGCGTTGTGTGTGCTCTCTTTGGATGGACACAAATTAGTTGTTGGAGCTTTCATTGAATTTCGTATAATTCACGAGGAAAAGTTTCGGTTTCAATATTTGGTCGATAGTTTGAGGGGAATTGGAGAGGAAGATAGTACTTCTATTGAATATAAAGCTGCCGGGTTAAGTTTGATTAATGCAATTGTGAATTCGCCTGACATTATTGAAGAACGTATTCTTTTAAGAGATGAATTTGAAAGGAGAGGAATTGATAATGTGTTTAAGGTAGGTTTTTACTTTATTTATTTTAGGGTATCCTAATAGATTCAAATTGGATATAATTATCTGTCATTTATATTTATATTTTTAGGCCATCAAAGCTTCCGATCCCCCGGAATCTGTGTTAAAACAAATTGAGGTCTACCAGGAGGAACGTCAAGAAGATTTAGATGAACTTTATGAGAAAGCTCATGAAATTGTAAGAGATGCAAAGTATGTAAAGTTATATAAAAAATTCTTAAATTGAAATTGAAATTGAAATTGAAATAATCTTAACATTGTTACAGTGACCCACTCTCAATAGTTGCTGGACTACTTCAACAAGTAGAAAGTGACAAAGATTTACACCGTCGTGTTATTGAGACTCTTAAAAATTTGTTAAGAGTTTCATGCAAAAATATCGAAGAGTTTGTATAGATTTCTTATGAGTTTCAATGCGTTTTTAATATAAACGAAAATATTAAAATTTTACAAATTCTATAGGAGGTGTCAGAACGAAATATGGACTTTGATCGAACAATTTATAGAGCAAATAATTTCTTTGAATAATTTAGGGCAGGGTAAGTTAAATTATATTCGAGTTTTTTATCGCCAATTTCAATTTGCATTGAAAAATATAATTAGAGTTATGAATATGAATAATTTTAGAATGGCAAAAATTCATGAAAGAATATCACTCTTCCATACAGCATATTGTTGGAAAGTACTCTTTAGTTAGTGGTGATGTGACTGATAATGAAATTGATTATTTAAGAGCTCGCTTGGAAGAATTAATGAAGGTAAAGAGTATTCACCTTTGCTAAATAATTTTATAAAGTCATTTTATTAATTTAAATAAGATTTTAATCAAGGTCGAAAAAACAATAACTACCGAAGAAAAAATTACTGTGCCCTTGAATTTTAGAGTACAAATTCCAAACCAGAATTTATCATCAGAAACAACTCCATTATTCATATCAGACAAGCAACAATCTACCCAATATGTTCCCCCAGCTTCACCATCATACTTCCCCAAAATTATAAATATGTTTAGGCAGTCATCTGTTCCAACTCCAGCATTATATCAACAACAGCCTACATCAAATAATAACATATCTCAGCAACATAAAGTTATCCGTAAACCTCCACTTCCTCCTTCAAAGGCCGCTTCATCACAATCCAATAATGCATCACGCCTTCGACCACCGCCTCCTCCACCACCTATAAAACGAATTTCATTATCAGTTACATCAACTTCACCACCGAAAACTTCACAATTAATAAAGTCTAAAGTTAAAAAACCTCCACCCCCACCTCCGTCCATAAAAAAAAATGAACGGTCAAATTTTATAACAGAATCTTTGCCTGTACTACAGTCTCCACCTAGTAATAATACTAATTTGGTAGGTACTTATCAAATTCAATAATGGTATTCTACAATATCAAATAGTAAATAAAGTCTAATTTAATTATAGTCTCCCTTAAATAATGAAATAGAACTTCCGCAACCTCCGTTAAGCTTATCTCCAGCTAAAAATGATGATATAACAACTATTCCTTCGATCTCTAAGCAACTTCTAATCTCTTCTATAGGAAATTTTGATATACCATCTATACCTTCATCGCCGCCATCACCGTTACAACCACAATCTGGAGAAATAGAAATGGGAGGTACCACACCTTCCCCGTCTCTCCCTGAGGTTGGAGCTCCTCCACCTCCTCCACCTCCCCCTGAGGTTGGGGCTCCCCCCCCACCTCCTCCACCCTGTCTCTTATACACATCTAGATGTGTATAAGAGACAGCCCCTGGGGTTGGGGCTCCCCCACCACCTCCTCCACCCCCTCCACCTCCCCCTGGGGTTGGGGCTCCCCCACCACCTCCTCCACCCCCTCCACCTCCCCCTGGGGTTGGGGCTCCCCCACCTTCAAGTTCGGTAAATCATTCTTCAACTTATGATAATAATATATCTGCTCCAGTTACCTTTACTGTTAATAACCCGAAGGGACCTTTAAAGCAATTATTTTGGAGCAAGATCTCAAAACATGAAGCTAATAATACTGTTTGGAAAGATATTCAAGAAGATGATATTCCATTAAATATTTACGAATTAGATGAATTGTTTGGTAAAACGGTGGCAGTTACATCCGAAAATGATACAAAAATATCAATCAAATCCACAGTTACAACTTTGATAGATTTTAATCGTGCTAATAACATTGCTATTATGTTGGCTCGAATTAAAATGCCATACTCAGAAATTAAAGATTCTATATTAGAATTAAATGATGAAAAACTATCAATAGAGAATCTTAGATCAATTAAACAATATATACCTACTAGTGAAGAGATTGAATTAGTAAAGGAATATGATGGTGATTTATTAACCTTGGGTAATGCAGAAAATTATTTCAGGGAAATAATGGTTATTCCACGCATGTTAGAAAGACTGAGTTGTATGATTTTCCGACGAAGATTTGAAGTTGAAGCACAAGAACTGTTACCTGTATGTAATTATAACTAGTAATATTTTATGAAATAATTAACAAATTTTATTATTAGGAAATCAATATATTACACAAGGCACATGAAGATCTCAAGAATTCATCGAAATTTAGGCGGTTGTTAAAGGTAAAATCTTTAAATTTGGACTTGTGTCATACGCAGGAGCTTCTTTTGCTAATTTATTTATTACAATTTTGTCTATAACAGACTGTATTGGCCATTGGTAACTACTTAAATACCAATTCATTTAGGGGAAATGCATCTGGTTTTCAATTAGATGCACTACTCAAGGTAAATTTTACATTTTTTGTAATATATTTCTTTTATTGTTTCAATTTACATAGGACTTTAAATACTTATTTAGATGAGAGATACAAAGGCTATAGAAAATAATTCAAAGGGAACAGCTACACTTCTGCATTATTTAGCATTTACAATTGAAACAAACCAAAAAGAACTTATCACGTTTATGGATGAATTGCCACATTTGGAAGCAGCAGCAAGAGTATCTGTTACGAGTGTAATGTCGTCAGTAACTTCTTTGGTTACTGGTATCTCACAGATCAAAGAAGAAACGCGTGTTCTTAAACGAGCAAGACCTGCTCAAGAAAACGATAGATTTTTGGAAGTGATGCATGTGGGTTTCAGGCCAATTACTTCTCTCTTTTTTTTTTTGTTAATTCTAAATTATTATTTATAGGATTTTGTTAAACAAGTGGAACCCACAATTGAAAGTATTCGAGAAATAGCTAGGAATTTAGATAATGAATTACAACAAATGTTAATATATTATGGAGAAGATCCAAAATCGACGAAGCCCGAGGATTTTTTTGGATTAATTGTCTCATTCTCGTCGTCGTTAATGGTATGTTAATTGTTGATTTTGGGTTTAATTTTTTATAATAACGATGTATTATTGCAAAAATTAGAAAGCACGTAAAGAAAATGAGGAAATTCGAAAGAAAACTGAGAAAGAAAAGGATAATGCGCTAAAACAAGTCAGTGTGATAATACAATGAATGATTTTTTTATATTATTTATATTATATTTGGTTATTTAGTCTTAAGGATATTAAAATTATAGGCAAATAAAAAACCTTCCGATGCAATTAGTATTGCCTCATCAAATGATGCGCAAGGTGATTTTGATGATGCAATTCGTGAACTTCGATCAGGTCTTAAACGTAATCGTGGCAGGCCTGTATCAAAAGTATTTTTAGAGATTGCAGAAGATCAAATATGATTAAAATTTACTAAATTCCAAAGAATAATTGATTATATCATCATTTAATACATGTACATTTTTTTAATACTATTTTATTTAGGAGAAAATCTAATTTATTCTATTATTAATATTGTTGCTAATTCCAGATATATATGTTTTTTATACACTTTGAATTATAGATAATGTTGCCTTGTTTTAGTATATAGGAAATTCTTGATCAACCTCTAAAGACCATTTATATAATCCTCCAATTATATCTTTAACTTCACCTTTCAAATAATTTTTCAATATATTCACTGCATGTTGTGAGTCATTTCCTAACCGACAAATCACGTATACTAATTGAATAAAGTATAAAAGTTAAAAAATTTAAGAATTTAGAATAATTAATTTTACCGGGAATAATTAATTTACCTGATGTATTTGGCGTTTCTAATAATTTTTTCACATCTTCAATTCTTTTGGGAAGATCTTTCAAAGGAATATCTGTTGTGTATAAAGAGTGATATTAAAGCATGAAACCAAAAAAAGAAAATGTAATAATTTACTTACTAATTGAACTAGGTAGACTGCAAATTTCATATTGCACGGTTTCTCTCACATCTATTAAAACATGAGGTGTCTCATTTCGCAAGTTATGATATACCTAACAAAATTAAGACATTTTAGTGCTTTATTATTATTAAAATTTTTGTTATTATTTTCTCCCACCTTAGGTTCAATCCTATCTTCGCGTCCTAACTCCTTCACTGAAGGCGACTAAATTAACTTAAGTAATAAATAAAAACGTATACTTTTTGAAACGTTTACAAAAGTGTAAGACAACAAACACCTTATCTAATGCACCACTACCACAAAACTGAACATAATCTTGCAATTTAGTTATAGATGGGTGATCACCACATATAACACAATCCTTCTTTTTTGATCTCAATTTTATGGACCGAAAAAGTGGATACGATGTAGCAGAAAAAATCAAAAGGTTATTAGGGCTTTCGTCATCTAATTATTCAGGTAATTAAATTTCATTAATATTAATATAATATTATTATAAATACATTTGTAAATGATTCCTAACGTTTACTAAAATGATTCACTTTCTGTAGCGATTTTGATTGCTTGCAATGCTTGCAAACACCCAATAACTCCAGTCACTAAAAAGAAAGAAAGAAAATTAATAAACGTTTTAATGTAAATACATGTATATATATATACGAACCGACTCCTAAAATTCCACCATCAGCACAATTTAATACGCTCTCTGGTGGAGGTGGCTTGGGAAATAAACATCGATAACAAGGTCCCCCTTTATAATTGTATACAGTCAATTGACCATCCATACGTAAGGCGCTACCAGAGACCAAAGGTTTGCCAGATATCACGCACGCGTCATTAAGAAGATATCGCGTGGCAACATTATCAGTCGCGTCCACAACTATATCATATTGTTGAACTATTTCTAATGCACTTAAACTATCCAGGAGTATTTCGTATGCGACGCAGTTACATAAAGAGTTTAATCCCTCGATAGTCATCTTTGCCGATTGTGCTTTGGAAATACCTTCCCGTGTTTCATTATGAATTATTTGGCGATGTAAGTTGGATTTTTCTACCTTATCGTAATCAACTATTCCAAGTTTGCCTGATTATAATATTATAATTTAATAAAGAACTTTTCCTCAATTTAAAAAATTAGAAGTTCTTACCAACTCCAGCAGCAGCAAGATAAATAGCCGCAGGTGATCCTAAACCTCCAGCACCCACGATCAATATTGAAGTATTTTTGAGTTTCAGTTGACCTAAACCAATTAAAACGCGTCAAACTTCCTTTCAATAAATAAATAAATAAACAACTAAATAAATAGGAATACCTGACTTGCCAAGATCTGGTAAAATAAGTTGTCGTCCATATAGCATATATTCAGCTAAGGTCAGGTCTTTATAAATTGGAGTCTCTGTTAGTAAAGCTTTATCAAAAGTTATAGTTTTTTGCAAGACTGATTCTTTGAGTTTCGAGTTTGTATTGTTATTTAAGAGCGAATTTTGTTGAATATTAAGTTTTTCTTCTAATTCGTTGACACGTATTATAAGTTGCTCATTCTCCTTTTTAAGTCGTGAAACTAACTCTATTAATTCTATTAATTCTTGATTTTCACTTTTATCCATTTCGATATTCATTGAACTTGTTGATATAGGCGCTGCGGAGTAATAAATGATTCTGCAATCACGTGATAAATGACGAATTGATTTTACGCAGAACAAAGAAGTTTGAACGCCCATTTTTGCTTATACCCTCCAAGTAAACAACTTTTAGGGCTATAATAACATTTTTGGTAAGTTTTAATTTTATTCGTTGATTATTTTTAGGAAATGATCGACAAAATTTCTATGCGCATGACTTGCGCATGTGGATGACTCATTTTTTGATGCGCAGATGATACATATAATACTATTACGTCACTATGACTCTCAAATATAAAAATTCTCCGTTTTTTTACTCTGTCGTTAAACTGTAATAGCAAATCTTGTCTCGATATCAGCCTTTAGTCTTTCTTTTTCTTTATAATAGAAATACAACATATTATTTTTATTTTCATTTTATTTTATTTTATTTTATTTTATTTTTAATATAATTAATAAACTAGACAAAAATCAAATAAATTATAAAAAACTCGGTTTATATTTTTTTTTTTGGTCATATAATAATGTCTTCAGTAACTCAGCTAGCTACCATCGGAGTCAAAGCTGACCCAAAGTTTTTAAGGTTTTAAACCACCTTTTGACCGTGTTTTTTCGTTTTTTTTCGAGATGAAGACTTCTAACTTGTTTCCTTTATTAGAGACCCTTCTGCGCTGGAGTCCATTTCTTCAGCCTTATATGGACTATCTTCATATGTAGCTTATTCTTTACCTACTTCGATCTCTTCGTTACGTAAAAGCAGCCCTGCGTCTGACCATAATGCTTATCAACACTCAATAAATCATCATCACGAAATAGATCCGCAAAACCATCCAATGCCTCCTGATGGGCTGGTTGAAAAAAAAAAGGATGTTATTGTATATGCAGCTTTTGATGAAATTGTATCTGCATCTTCTAACAAACCTAATACATCAATAAGGTAATGATGGTCAAACTTATTATCGATCTGATTTATATTTAATTTAATTTACTTATTTTAGCTTTTGATTAGCCAATCTGTTCTTATGTTAGGTTATCCAGATGGATTTCAGATATGGAATGTAACAAGTGTGGACAATATCCATGAACTCGTCTCGATAAGAGACAAAGAAAAACTTGGAGAAGTGGCGTATATAAAGGTTTGTAGAGTTTAATCGAAAACAACTATGAAGTTCGTCTAATTTCTCTCTTTCATTATAGTCAATACCAAATCCACGTTATACTTCGAAACATGCTCGTGATATATTTGCAGATGTTCGACCGCTAGTTGGTTTAATGTAAGTAGGATTAAATTATGATATAAATAGAACTAATTAGTTTATCGATAGTTAAAATTTTATTTTTGGTTACAGCTGTATATCGACTCCGGAACGTGAAGATGGTATTCAAGGGCCTCTGTCGAAACCAAAAAGCGTATTAAATTTTTTTTCACTAAAAACACATCAAATTGTAAAAACTTTAGACTTTGAGAACGAGGGGAATATCGTTGGTGTAAAATGTAACGAGCGTGCGATTGTTATCAGCTTGAGCAATCCTGCAAAGTTACATATAATATCACCTTTAACACTAGCTCCCTTGTTTCAATCAATGTTGCAAGATATCGCGCTTCACCCATCTACTAGAGCTCCAATTTTTACATTGGGTTCCAGATTGTTAGCGTATGCAACAACGAGCCAACCGTCCGAACCTAATGGAAAAAAGGATAGTGATTTGGGCGATAGTGATGAAATAGTTGATGGTTCTTCTGGCAAATATCAAATAGTTGCAAAAGAAGTTGCAAAAGAAGTAGTAAATGGTGTAAAGTTTCTGGGTAAGAAGCTTTTATTTAATATATTCTTTTATTTCAATTAGTTTTTAGCTAAATTTTATTTATTTTATCTTATTTATCTGAAAAGGTGATTATGGGTATCAAACACTTTCAGCTTATTTTGCAAACTCGTCAAATTCACAAGCTATACCCCAAATAAAACAATCATCATCTATGCCAATTAATATACAAAATCATTCAGGAGGAATGAGTCCTGCTTCGCGTGGTTCTTTTTCACCTTCACCTAGTCCATCAAATGGACATTATTATAATTCGAGGACTGGAAGTGTTGGCTGTGGTAGCGGTGATAGTGGTAATGGGTTCATGGCCGCGGCCAACAACGGAATGGAAACTGAAAAAGATAGTGGAGCTATAGGAGCAGTATGTAATTGGTTTTGTCTAAATTAAACATATATAGTTTATTTAATTTTTATTTAATGTTCTTCTAGATTATTATTCGCGACCTTGGCGCTCCTTACGGTTCTAATAAAAAAGAACCATCAATTATAGCGCATTTTGCACCACATACACATCATGTTGGCCAATTATCATTTAATCCATCTGGTACTCTATTATTTTCAACTTCTGTTCAAGGTCACAAATTTCACGTTTTTGAAATTCTTGGTAAACGTCGCAGAGGTAGAAGTAATCATAAAGTTAAACATATGTATAAATTAGCACGAGGTTATACTTATGCTAGTGTAAGCGAAAGTGGTGTTGGGTGGAGTAGTGATTCTAGATGGTGTGCTGTGGCGAGTGGTAAAGGAACAATCCATTTATTTGCAATAAATCCCTATGGAGGACCGACTCATATACTCTCCCATATATCGGGGTTGGTTAAAAATATGGATGAACCATATAGTTCGACTACACAATCTCCAGTCGTGCGAATTAAGTCACGAGCACCTTTACCAGCAGATCCTACTGAAGTAGCTGCTAATGGATTTTCACAAAATAATATTTACCCTATTAATCCTCATGAATATTACTCTTTTCCTCCTCCTGATTCAAATTCTTCTTTCACGACTACAAGTCCTTCACGTCGTCCTAACCCAATACATTACAATAACACTAATATGTATCCACATCATCTCAATGGACAACTACATCCATTTTCCTATAATATTCCTCCAAACTCTTTTCATCTTACAAGGAAACCTCCAGGAATATGCATTAAATTTCTTCCTTCATTATCCAATAATTCTAAAACTGGTTTAACAGCTGGTAATAATGGAATTTTATTTGCTGATTTAAATGCAAAAAGACAAACTAAAAGAAGTTCTTCACCATCCATTAATTATGAAGGTAATACATCCGCAAATTCTAGCAATAAAAATGGGCGAAGAAGAACTCAATCATGGTCTCAAAATTCTTTGTCAAGTGTTAAAAATACTAGCCGTCAGTATCTTGAAGTGGAAGACTTGGATTCCAAACAAGAGGATATTGGATACCAGGATATATTAAGTTTTCATCCGACTGGTATTTTGACTTTACATAGAGTATGGATGGAAGGAATTGTGGTTGGGGAACAGGATAGCTCTTCTCGTCAAGGGGGTAATCAAGAATTAAATAATCTAATTACAATGGCAGGTACACCATTGGCTGGTAGTGCAGCTGCTGTTGCCAATGTTGGTAGAGCACTAGTTGGTGGAGCAACAACTGTTGTAGGAGGAATTACAGGTGTCACGAGAAAAGAAGCTGGTTCTTTAGACATGGTTACGAATTATGATGATGTTGCTGAATGGCAATTAGTACGTAGTAATAATTGGGCTGAGGTTAAAAATGTTTTTGAAACACCTAAACTGCTCACAGAAGGTGACATAATAGTTAAAAGGGATAGTAATAATAAATGGCTGGCAAATGCTGAAATTGCCACACATACCAGTTCTAGAACATCATTGCCCCCATCTTTATGGGCCAATCCTCAATTCACCTTCCAAACATTTTTACCTGGTCATAAAGAAACTATTCGCAAAGGTGAAATACCACGTTCAAAGAAAATTGAAATACGAAGGGAGGTAATTGAACATGTCGAAGTTAATGGTAATACAGATACCTTGGGAGTAAATGGATGGGTAAATAATGGAAAAAGTAATTATGATATTTCTGAAAATCTATCAACTGCTATGCATACTTCTCTTGATTTTTTACCATCTAGTCCAACATTAAGTGCTGTTAGTACAAAATCTAAAGATCGAATATCAAATGGTTTTAATGGACATGCATGTACAATTCCGGGTGACATATGTAAGCAACTATAATTTTCTTTATTTAGTTATTACTATTATTATTTTATTATATTATTAATTTTATTATTTTAATCAGCAATTACACCATTATCATTTGAGGATGCATATCATATTCAGATCTCCAACAATAACCCTGCTACAGCTCCTGCTGCTATCAATTCCACTCCTTATACAACAAAATCTTCTAAATTAAACAGTACTATGTCTCCAAATATTATAGCAAACAATAATATGATTATTTCACATCCACTATCATTTACAAGATCTACTTCTTCGTTATCATCTGTAAATACTTCCGAAACCACATTTAGTGATGAAGTTGATGTTCTAACTAAAGGAATTGAACATACAGAAGAGTTTACTAGCGAAGAAGGAAATTTCTTTTTTTCACCAGATGGTGATAATGAGGTTGAATTACCAAGTAATAGTATTATAGAATTGCGTAATGGTAAAAGTATTGAAGAACAATACATTGGATGGGTTTAATAAAATTGAACTTTTTTTTTTAAGTTGGTAAGATATGCAAATCATTTGTAAATTATAATTTTAATTATTATTATTAACGAACTTTGTGAAATTTATTTTTTTTTTTTTCTGATTTATTTTATTTACAATTTAGATTTTGTAATTATATTTTAATTGTAATATATATATATATTATTCAATACTTATATATATATATATATATTTTAAATAGGAAAAAAAATATATAAAAAATATAGTTTTTTAATTGTAAATACAAGTTCTATTATTTAATTCATTTTTTAAAATAAATAAAGTTTAAATTAGCATAATACTAGAAAATATATGGATCATTTTTATCACATGAACTATATACAGTTCCGGAAACTTTATATTGGTCTAAATTTTAAGAAATTTACTATTGTTTTTACTCATTTAAATTAAAATTTTACTAGTATTGTTACTCAATTTAGAAATCTTTCCTAATATTTATTATCCAAAATAAAAATAATCTACTATAATTATAAGTAGTTTATTAGTAGAATGCAGTATATTATATAAATGCTTTTGTGAAAAAAATTAAAAAAATTCCCAAGAATCCTATTAAATATAAATAAGGTTGCTGGAGAAACTAGGAGGTTTTGGCAAGTTGGTGAAATGCCAAAATGGTGAAACTTTGCTGAAACTATATGAAAGTCTTATTAAAAAGTTGGTGAAACTCTGGATAAAAGTGAAACCTGACGAAACCTATTATAAATGCTGAAACTGCCAAAACCTTGCCAAAACTATAATAAAACTATAGTAAAATTTTGGAGAAACTAATCGTAGAATTTTGGAGAAGTTTAGGCAGGCAACCTTAAATATAAATGACCAATTGAATTGGTACTGTTGAATTATTCAGAAATATATTTACTATCATCAGATACAAAAGCCCTATAAAAAAAAATTTTTTAGGACTTTTAGTTTGCATTTTTTTTTTAACCACAACACATTTAATAATTTATTAGAATAACAATAATTCAGATAGTAGTTTAGTTCAGTGGGTAAAACACATGTAAAATAATTTATTTTTAGGTAAAAAAAAAAATTTTTTCTTATAATAAAAAGAAATTAATAAAGAAAACAATACCCCAAAAAACCTAAAATAGTTTCAGATTTAAGTAGACTTCACTAAAAGGTTTACATCTAGGTTGTAAAATCTACTCAAATATAGGAATATTAAATTATCAGTAGACTGAAATACCTTCTGAACTTTATTTAGCTATTTCCTTAAATACTATTACTATTTCAAGTAGATTAAGTCTTATATGGGTGGATTTGATTCATGGGATAAAATTGCTTTATTGCCTCATTGGTCCTTTTGCATAATACTAAACTGATCAGCAAACACAAGATTTCATATCAGGTGAGTTGTAGATCAATTGAAAAAATTATTTTTTTTTAACTTGCCAACGTTAAGAAAAAAATATTTTAAAAAAAAACTGTGTTTTAACCCATCTGACATAGTTACAACCCATCTGACTTAAGGTATGTCAGTTTGTGAGTTGTATGAATATTTAGTGCTGGAGTTTTTTTTTATTCTTTTGACTAGTTTTCTATTTCTTTTTTTTTTTTTNTTTACAATGCTCTATATGTAAAAAGACATTTAAATCTAAGCGAGGTTTAAGTCAGCATAAAGCAATTATACGCCGATATAATTCTTCTCGCGTAGGCTTTTACAAGCTTCCAAAAAATTTTATAAATGAATTTAAAAAAACACTAGTTTTTTTAATTCATCGCCAACTAGATGTGTATAAGAGACAGTCTTTATACTTCACTATTTTTTGTCACAAGTGTTGAGCGTTCAAAATTTTTTTTCTTATTATACTTAAATTTAAAGTATTATAAATACTGTAATAGATTAAATTTATAATTTAAAAATCAATTTTTTAGTTTTAACTTGAAACTCGTATACTACTTGTGTACTTTTTAAAATTAAAAAGAAGCAAAAGTAAAAAAACATTTTATTGGAGTGGCTTAGCGTTATCATATGATGTTACACTGGTCTACATAAATCTGGCCAAAATTATGTTAATTCTGGCCAAAATTAAAATCGTATCAAAATTGATTTTTTTTAATCACACATCTTTATGGATATCGTGCAATGCATCCATAACTTTGCTGTGCTTGAATAATGCAAAAATTCAGCATATTTAAGTGATGAAACAAATCTGCCAATATGTATAAATTGAGAATTCAGAAATCATTGAGTCAAAATCTCCAACCATCAGATAATGATGAACACTATAGACTAAAAATAAATGCCATACTGAAAGTCTGTTTTTAACTTAACAGTATCCTTTATAAACTCTATATAGTATTATAAAACCAAAACTGCTAAAGAAACATAATGTATATAAATGATAAAAATAGAAAAGTAACAAAAAGAAAATAAAAATAAAATGGAATCTATATATGTTGTTAAAATACTCAAACTTATTGTATTGAAAATACTAATTTACATAAAACATTTATTGCAAGTCTTTTTCTTTCTTAGAATATAAAAGTAATTAAAAATGAGATTAAAATATACATGAAACTGAAATTGGTTAATTTTGACCTTTGAAATGGTCGAAATGGTCGAAATGATTTTGACTTGAGCCTCTCCAAAAGTTAAAATAGTCGAAATTACGTTATAGTCATATGATTTTATAATAAACAATAATATTAAAATTCAAAGTTAACGAATTCTGCATCTAGTGATTCAATTTTTATGATCTTTACACGGTTGGATTCAGCTCATTGAGAGGATTCCAATGATATGTATTTCATACACTAGTCGAAAAAGGAATATTCGGCCTTAGTAAATTCGGCCTATATTCGACTAAAATTAAAAATTCAACCTTAATTAGCAATGATCTATGATTAGACATTGGTCGAATAACTAACCATGCTGATCGAATAGCCACGTCACATGTTACGCATATCAAAAGTTTAAAAAAGAATCTTATGCATTCTTTTTTAAACTTTTATTCCTTTTTTTCCTTGTCCTTTGGCACTATAGGTGCAGAAAAAAACAAAAAAATTATTTTATTTTATTTTTTTTAAATTTTAAATGTGGCCCTTTCCCTTTTCGTAGTAATTCTATGGAAATGCGGAAAAAGTAAAACGAAGGGAAAAGGGTAAAATGAAGGGAAAAGGGTAAGACCAAGGGAAAAGAGTAAGACGAAGGAAAAAGAGTAAAAAGAAGGGAAAGGGTAAGACGAAGAGGAAAGAGTAAAATGAAGGGAAAGAGTAAAATGAAGGGAAAGGGTAAGATGAAAGGAAAAGAGTAAAACGAAGGGAAAGGGTAAGACGAAGGAGAAAATGAAAGGAAAGGGTAAAACAAAAGGAGAAAATAAAAGTGAATGGTGACGGAAAAAGGAGTATTTTTTTAAGATTTGTAAGTATTATATTACGAATCTTAAATTTTTTTTCTTTTTTATTATTATGGAACGGTTTACTAACCGTTCTTTTCTTTTTTTTATAGGTTCAGGTGAACTTTTGACAAATGAAAACCAAGATTCGTAAGTAAGTACAAATCTTGGTTTATTTATTTTTCTTTTTTTTAAAAAAAATATTACGAACGGTTACTAATAACCGTTCTTTTCCATTTTTTAGGTTTCGGGTGGGCTTCTGAAGAAGGAAAACCAAGAAACCAAGATTTGTAAGTAAGTACGAATCTTGGTTCTTTTTTTTTTTGTTTTTTTTTAATATATGAACGGTTTACTAACCATTCTTTTTTTTTTTATAGCTTGTTCGGGTGGGCTTTCGAAGAACAAAAACCCAACATATCGGCGGATTTGTCTATTCTGAAATTATAGGTTAAAATAAAGATTTTCCTGAACAGATCATGCTCAGAATTGTACTGTAACACTAGTAAATCAGATGATAAGTTGTCATCTGATTAAATGACCAGCTGAAGTAAAAAATTTTTGTCGCGAACCAAAATTATTAGACAAAACATAGTCGTGTAAAAACCCATTTCTCTTACAAAAAACCCATTTCTCATATTCCACCAAAATTTTTATCTTCCAGATTAACAAGTAGGTTTTTTTTTGAATATATATCAATAAAAAAGAAAGGACTCGTCAAAAAATTTTATATAATTTATTTTATTTGGGTTAATATTGAATTTTTCAGGTATAATGGCTTATATATTACCTCTTACTCCAATTTCGCCCATAAGTTTTACCGAAGATATTTTACAATGCTCTTTATGTAAAAAGACATTTAAATCTAAGCGAGGTTTAAGTCAGCATAAAGCAATTATACGCCGATATAATTCTTCTCGCGTAGGCTTTTACAAGCTTCCAAAAAATTTTATAAATGAATTTAAAAAAACACTAGTTTTTTTAATTCATCGCCAACTTCCTTGTCATTTTACCAAAATTGGATTAAAGGCTGTCACTGTGGCCTGCACTGAAAGTCAGTTTTTTGCTACATTTGGTGGTAATATTCATCACTATTCTAACAAATCTCGTGTTTATAAGTGCATCTTTGGGGGCCAGATGCATCAAGTAAGCTAGCGCAGGTCTTTGGTGATACAAATTGGAGAACCAAATTCTATCATGGAAATAAAGTAACTTCGGTGGTGACCAATCTTGATGATATAGATACAGAAGAAGAAAATCCTCTTGATCGGAAGTGAAAATTTAAAATTTATTCACAAAGGAACTCACGATATAAACGAGGACAAGTAATTATTGAATGGAAACCCTGACAAGAAAAGGATGTAAAGAGTAATAAATGTGATGGTGGATTTTTACATATCCATTTCTGGATTACAAAAAAAAGAATAATAGATCATTAAGTAGATAAAATAAAAAAAAAGAAATGTAAAGAAATATATTTTTTTCCGGGTAAAAATAAAAGAAAAACTTTTTTTGCATGAGTAGATTCAATTATAGAGAAAGCCAATAAATTAGGTATCTCCTTTCACCAGATTGTGTTACATCTTCAGTTGATCAATATTGAAAAGAAGGTTACAAATTTAAAATAATTAAATATAGAAAATTTAATAGAACAAATTATTTATATTTTTTTTTCCAGCTAATTTTTAGAAAGTACTTACATTACATGAATTTAGATTTATAAAATAAAAATGAACATATTAAAAAGACTTGGTTGCACAATCACCTAAATTAATGAGCTACGGTTTTGAATATACTAAAAGGTTTCATTTGTGAAACAAAAGAATTTCCACCCATACATACTTGCACTCCCGCTTTTTATTAAAGTCTCAAAGTCCGGCTCATAAGCTCATTAAAACTACAAAAAAGTAAAGAAAGAAGAAATGTTAATATGTTTCTCAAATCAAATAAAAAACCTCCCCTCTTATACTTACTTTACTCACTCCCGCCTTCTATTAAATTCTCAAGTCCAGTTCGTTAAAGCCAGCACTCCTACGAAAAGAAAGAAACGTTAATACGTTTCTCAAATCAAAACAATAAAACCTCCCTCTTATACCTACTTACACTTCCGCTTTCCATTAAATTCTCAAGTCCAGTTCGTTAAAGCCGGCATTTCTACAAAAAAGAAAGAAGAAACATTAATACATCTCTCAAATCAAATAAACAAAACCTCCCTCTTATACCTACTTACACTTCCGCCTGTCATTAAATGCTCAAGTCCCGTTCGTTAAAGCCAACATTCCTACAAAAAAGAAAGAAGAAATGTTAATACGTTTCTCAAATAAATAAATAAAAAATATATACATGCATATACTCAATATACATACCCATTCTTCCGTTATATGTTTAAAGCTGGTGTTCTTACAAAATAAAGTAAGTTTGTCATTGATTTTCTAAAGACTAGAAAATATATATTTTAAAGTTTTTTTTTTTTAAAGAAAAAAGTCTTCTTTTTTGAAACGAAAAAAAAAGAATTTTAAAAAATGAAAAAAAAATTTTTAAAACGAAAAAAAAAAAGAAAAAAAAAT